ATCCCATGCATATATGAATAAAAGCACACATGCATGCACGTATGGAGGCAAGGGTGGCTTGAATATGAATGGCTCCAATAGGCTCATATGTTTGAATGCTTTAGCTATCAGTGAGTGCCACTACTTGAGAGGTATTAGGAGTGTGACCTTGTTGGAGTAGGTGTGGCCTTCTTGGAATAAGTGTGTCACTGGGAGTGGGCTTTGGGGTTTCAAATGCTCAAGTCATACCCATTGTCTCCTGTGCCTGCTGCCTTTGCATTCAAATATGGAAATCTCAGCTGTCATGTCTGCCTGTTTACCACCATGCTCCCCATGATGAGGATGATAGACCGCAAGCAAGACCAAATTAAATGCTTTCCTCTATAAGAGTTGCCATGGTCATTGTGTCTCTTTACAGCAATAGAACAAGACTAAGATACACATGAACACATACACATGCAGAAACACAAAAGCATACACATATATGTATATACACATGAATATCCACTTTTGTACAGGCATACATATGCACACACATTTATACAGAAGCTTGCATATATATAATATACATACATCCACTAACATACATATACATACACAAGCAAATGCATATGCACACACATCATTATATGAAAAGTGTGGCACTATTTATGTTTTAACGCTTTAAAATATTATACACTGAGTTAGAGACACAGAAGAATCATAGCGATGGGAGAAAATTAACAGTGTTGATCATGAAGACTTAAACTTTCTCAATATTGTTTTAATTTTTTAAAGTGCAATGCACTGTCATGTTCCTTGGGCAGTGAGAAGAAAATTCAGGACTCAGAAGTTCCAGTGGGAGCATAGCTGCCATGGTTAGTATGGATGCCCTCTGTACATTGCTGGCAGTGAGAAACAGGTGCCAAAGGGTCATTAAGAATGGTCAAAGATATAACACTCAAGGCTATATTTCCATCTCCTTACTTCACTGCGTCATAGCTCTCACCATGTTTATTCATCATCAGGCTCGACAGAATGACCTCCACTTGGGAAGAAGTTGGCAGTGGGTTTGGAAATGAAGTCCAGTGAATTACTACACATTTATTTTTAGGGTAATGGGAAAATTGCCAAAGGGTGACCTCTTTCTGAGAACACATTAAAGCAAATACAACTGGTGAATTATCTTCTCAAGAGCCCAAGTGCTGGTTACATAAATTACAGTGGAGGAGATTGTTGGATAGTTTTGTGGACTACAGAAGATAAAATGTACCAAACTTAAAGGCCGAGGAAATGCAGCTCATGCAGGTGGTGGTGGACACACTTCTACCAGTCCTCTTGGTTAAACTGTACCGAGGAGGAAATCGATGCTAAGTCAGCCGTATTTTAAAACATCAATTCTTTTCACCAGTTGAAGCTTTTTCTTAATAAACACAATACACCTATGTCCTGTTTTCACCCATGACAGTTCTTCGCTAATTCAGCAATTTCTAAATGCCCTTATTTCTGATAAGGGGCCAGTGTTTCAGGGAGTCTACCACCACATAAATAAACCACTACATATGGAATTAGTTATGAGTAGGTATTGATGGAATGTCATTTTCTGAATATCACTGCTCAAGCAGTGCTCAGTTATATGTACATTGCTTTATTAATCTCACACCAGTACCTATCAAAGGGCCTTAGCATGACAGGTACTCAGTAAGGAACTAATTTACAATGGGTAATTTAATTCATGAATAATTAATACCTAAACTAAAATGTTATAGTATAACAAAACAATTACAAATACATCCATGCTATGTAGACTTGAGTCTTATAAAGAATACATTTTAATTATGTTATAGTATTTGCTCAATCATATCACACTGAATATCTATACTAGCAATCTTGTCACATAGTCAAACATTCAAATAATGAGAGTGCAGCAATAATTACTTATGATGGCCAGTTCATACGGAAAATATTTGTTTACTGAATGCCTAGTATTTTTCTTGTCGTTGTGGACACAGAGAAAGCCAGTGAGAAAGGCTTGCTTCTCCCATAAAACCAGTTATGGGCAGGTGTTTTTCTTTTTCACATCTTTGCTAGACCTTGTGTGATTCCTGCCCATTTCCTCGTTCCACCTCCCCACACTGGGGTTGCCTTTTCCTCTGGACTCCTCACCAAATGTGAGCATGGTGCACATCTTTCTACCACACATTTCTATGTGCCCAAGCTTGACATCCTCTTAATATTCTTGTTTAGCATTCTAGATGTTTCCTCACTTGACAAACATATCTGAAAGGAAGTGTGTGGTTGAGGGTTGAGACCTGGAGCATACCATCTGGATTTGGAACCTGACTTGACCACTTCCTAACTGTTGCACAGGCAGCTTGATTCCCTCCTGAGCAAGGAGGGAGGAACAGCTTGCCTCTCTGTGGGGATGAGGAGAGTTCAGCAGAGCCTATTATACTTAGCGAGTGGGAAGGAGGAGGTACTTTGTGATGCCAGAGCCGCCATCCACATAAGCTCAGTTAACTGCCTTGCTGTTCTCCTTCTGGCCCTGCTGGCTTGTACACAGACCTCTGCCTTTAACTAACTCACAGTCCAGCTCTATTGTAATTTCACCAAACCCCTGAAGTTCTTCTTGTTATCTCTAATTTCTAGAAACTTCTAGCTTCTATCCCCTCACTTGCATTTGCTCACTGGTTCCCAATTCACCCAAACCCCAACTCTCTGTCTTCCCTGAGTGTGTATATTTCACAGCTCTCCTCCATGTTTAGAAACCTCTTTGCCCTTTAGCCAATTGATGGGCATATATGTTCCCTAAAGTTCCCCTTATTATTCTAGAACCTACAAATCCCAGTTCACAGGCCAGAAATACAGCTCAGTAAGTAGTTAAAGAGCTTGATGTGCAAGCCTGACAGTGGGAATTGATCTTCAGAATCTATGCAAAAGTGGAAGCAGAGAACTGATTCCACATGTGGTCCTCTGACAAATACACACACACACACACACGCACGCACGCACGCATGCATGCATGCACACACATACACAGACACACGCATGCACACACACACATTTGAAAAAGAAAGCCCTCAAGCCCTCCCCTCTGCTCCCACAGGAAACCATATAATCTCCTAAGCTTTATGAATATTTATCTGGGTGCTTAAAGAGAATCTTTACTGAAACGTTTTATTTTTGTATATGGTAACTCTTCATTTATATTACCCTCATTTTGTGTTCAAGACAGAAGGAAATGAAGTCATACAAGAGAACGTTTAGCATGAATCTTCATATAGGAAGCACATAATAATTGCTACACACATACCCATGGAGTATAAAAACCTTGCTCTAACTTCACGAAGGATTTATAAAAGGATTTCTAAGTATTTTTAGTTGTTTCTTGTATCGCTGAAAAAAATGCTTTAATTCTGCTCTGTTTTAAAACAGTGCCTTACAATGTCTTTGAGAGTAAATTGAGATGCTACTGCAAGGGCAATGACTTAGATGATCCTCATTCTGTGCATGTATTTGGTGGAGTAACTTCTGCAAAGCAAAAGCACATTTAACTCAAAGCATTACAGTTAAGAGCATTAATATATGTCCACTGAGAATCAGCTAATAATTACCCAGATTTGTGTCTTTGAGACTGGCTTATCTGTAAAACAGAAATAGGCTAGAATAATTGACCTTGGGAGGATCTAAAAGAAGATGCTCAATTATAAATTTATGATAGTCTAGGGATGTTATAGATTACAGGGAACCCTAACATGGAAGGAGTACTCAAGACTCCAGTAACAAGTCTGAAGAGTTAAGGTGTCCTGCTTGCCCCAGACTTGCTGCTAAAGGGTGCCTCAGTGAACTTGGGGACACTTGAAGTGGAGTGCATTCAATATCACTTCAATCATTTTGAGGAAATACCTTCTAACCGTGAACAAAAGACACGTATTTCTATGCAGAGCCCCGCTGGAAGCCCTTAAAGTATTAAGGCTCCAGTTTCTACACAGCCACTTATAAGTGGGCAGGGCCTGTTAAAACTCAGACCCCTGGGAAAGAGGAGACCAGACAGCTGACATGTGTGGTCATGGCATCTCAGCCTTGGCCCACGTGTGACCTCAGCATTTTGTGTCAGCTTGTTAGAAAATGCATCTATTTCCTGCATCAAATTGTGACATGATCTTCAAAGGTAAACATGTTTGACTTGGAGTTTACTGAGATGGTAGAAATTTTAAAATGTTTCTGTGGAAGGTAACTAAAATGTTCTTTTAGAATGTGCATGCTTTAGCCAGGCGGTGGTGGCGCATGCTTTTAATCCCAGCACTTGGGAGGCAGAGGCCAGCCTGGTCTCTGAGAGCTAGACCAGGACAGGCACCAAAGCTACAGAGAAACCTTGTCTCGAAAAACCAAAGAGAAAAAAAAAGTTCATGTTTTACTTAAAGCAAGATAGTCCTAGGGAAATTGTGTTACTGTGATATCCAGGTTGTCCAGTTATTATCAGCAATTGCTCCTGTCCTCTTGTACACATAAGACTATGTTAAACAAAAAACTAGACTTTTGTTTAGAATTATATAATATATCCCTATGTATTTATAGAAAATACAAACAGAATTTGCATTTTTATCAGATGTTCTCCAACGTGTATAAATATGCCATGTATTTATAACCACACTCTGAACATGTAAAAAAAAAACTTTAATTACATAATTTTTCTTTTGCCATAAAACCCAGTGTTTGATTTATGCAGTAGCTACAAATGTCTGTGGCACTAGGATAAAACTGCATATTGACAGGAGCAGAATCACTGATCAGCAGCACGGTCCCCAGTGTCAGAACTAAAATGGACTGTTGAAAGTGTGTCACGCATCACTAAGTTATAATAGCCAACCACAGCGACCCGCGGGCATTGTAGGCCACACACACTGTTAAAATAGCATCACAGTTTAAGGTTTAAAGAGATGTCACCGTTTCTTAGAAATAAGGGATAATTGAAATGTAAAAGTATTCGGTTATCTCCACGACGCAGAACGGAGATGAGGGCTGACGACCAGTCTGCCTACCTTCCATTGCCCGTTTAAAGAAGACCTTGCAGCTCCCACAGGTGAGCACGCCATAGTGACAGCCAGATGCTTCGTCCCCACAGATTAAGCAGATCTTCTGAGGTAAGGAATCAAAGCCATACTGTGGATTCTGGGTGGTGTCCGAGTCTGGCCTTGAAACGCAAAATAGGCTCCACTTAGTTTTAGGTTCACTGCTGCCTGATAAAGAAAGCTTTCTTAAACTGGCATTGATGACACCAAAGCCTTTTTTACACAGAAACATATTATTTAGTCATATTTTTGGCTTGTGTTTTAGTTTTTTGATAAAGGTCTCATAAAGCCAGGTTGGCTTTAAACTTCCTACATACCAGACACAGGCCTTGAACTCATGAACTTTCAGTCTCGAGTCTCCAAGTGCTAGGAATAGAGGATTTTCCCCCCATACCCAGTTTATGAGGTGCAGGGACAGAAATCTGGGCTTAGTGTATGATGGGCAAGCAGCAACCTTTCTAGGAACTGAGCCACATCCCCAGCTCCCAGGACAGCCCCCCCCACACACACATTTCAAAGTCAGGTGAACTGAACTTGCTACTTCATAAACTGCCTATAATGGATTCATTGAACCTGCAATTTATTAGCCATTTTTTAAAAATCATAAAAGGTGGGCCAGAACATTTTTTCACGTTCACAAAGCTAGAATCTCCTGGTAAAAAAGAGATCTTTACTCATGTTCTCCCGCCTCCTGCTCCTCATTTGGACCTTGGGAGCTCATTCCGGTGCTCCAGTGTGGGTCTCTGTCTCAATCTCCATCCATCTCCAGATGAAGGTTCTATGGTGATATGCAAGATACATCAGTATGGCTATACGATAGGGTCATTTCAGGTTCCCTCTCCTCAGCTGCCCAAGGAACTAACTGGGGACATCTCCCTGGACACCTGGGAGCCCCTCTAGAGTCAAGACTCTTGCCAACCCTAAGATGGCTCCCTTAATTAGGATATATACTTCCCTGGTCCCATATCCACCTTTCCTTTATCCCAACCATCCCATTCCCCCAAGCTCAGGAAGTCAGGAACGCAAGGGGCGCACCCACCCACTGAGACGGTGGGGCTGATCTATTGGGAGCTCACCAAGGCCAGCTGGCCTGGGACTGAAAAACCATGGGATAAAACCGGACTCTGAACACGGCGGACAATGAGGGCTGCTGAGAAGCCAAGTACAATGGCACTGGGTTTTGATTTTACTGCATGAACTGGCTTTTTGGGAGTCTAGCCTGTTTGGATGCTCACCTTCCTAGACCTGGATAGAGGGGGGAGGACCTTGGACTTCCCACAGGGCCTAGAACCCTGACTGCCCTTCAGACTGGAGAGGGACAGGAGAGGAGTGGGGGAGGGGAAAGGAGTGGGGAGAGGAGAAGAGGAGTGGGGAGGGGGAGAGGAGTGGGAGGCAGGGAGGAGGCGGAAATATTTTCAATAAATAAAAAGAGACTTTATACAGAAGGGATTTTGTCTTTGGAGGATGAAATGTGACATCCTTCCTGATTGCAAGATCACAGCAAACACGGCTGAGTTTTGGGAGTTTAAGTGAACTTAGCAGTGGTTCCTTTTTGAAAACACCACCCTGTAATGACGGATTGCTCTAACACATAAATATAGGTGTTATTTTAAGTTATCGTGAACACACTGACTTTAGTTCGCCTGGTCACAACAGAGAAGACTACAGATCCGAGCGTTTTGTTTGTTTGTTTGTTTGTTTTCTGGCTGCACTGTACTTGAGTATAAACCCACCTTCCAAATTCTTCCCTTCTGCAGTTTACTTCACTCTTGAGGTTCCTAGGAAAAACTGGGCCAGAGACCTGCTCAGATCCCTGAGGTGTTTCTGCTTTCAGTTCTGAAGCCGCATTTAGGCCCCACCCCTCCCAGATGACCTTAGTGCCTCAGTCTCTCCAACACACACACACACACACACACACACACACACACACACGGTCCTTGTCCTTCTCAGGAAGTATTTAATGAATCTAAGGAAGCACTCAACCCACTAGAAGGCATCCCAACACCCCCGTTCTCAGACAATCTCTGCAGGTTTTGAAACAGGGTAGTTCCGCTTCTGAAAGTTTTCAGTGTTTGGGGGAGGGTGCAACAAAACTATCTGCACCTCTTAAGCCCGGAGAAAACGTAAAACAAAGGGAGGTACAGGCAAGAGGGTGTCAGGTCTCCAAGGCCTAGGCCTCCCACGGAGACCCTGCTACCTTGAGCTGCTGGAGGGTGGGGCAGAGCGGCCCGGGGCAGGTGCTCACCTCAAGTAGTTGAGATAGGGCGTGTAGACCTGGGGCAGGCTGTCCTTCAGCACGGCGGCCTGGTAGCCCAGCTGCGGGAGCCCGTTGAGACCTAGCGGCGGGTAGATGGCGGGGGCTGCCGAGGCAGCCGGAGTGGCGGGCAAGCTGTCCCTCGGGAGCAGGCAAGAGCCGGTGGTCGGGGGCTTGCAGGGCAGCGGCGGGAACGAGCCCTGCGTGGGCGGCGCGCCCTCAGCTTTGTACAGGATGCACTCCAGCGCGGACCCCGAAGAGGACGCGGGCGACACCGCAGAACTGCCGGGGCCACTGGCCACCGTTGCCTCTCCGGGCCTGGAGGAGGGAGCTCGAGGCGGCGCCGGCGCCAGCGGGAAATCTGGAAAGGTGGCAGCGCTGGCTCCAGCCACCAGGTAGGGGCGCGATGAGCGCGCAGATGCCTCGGCTCCCTCCTCCTCCTCCTTGATCTTCAAGCTTGGCGGCTGGAAATCGCCATAGAGAGGGAACGCGTCCTCTTTGGGGTCGCCGTCCTGCGGGAAGGTGCAGTCTGGGAAGTCGCCGCAGGGCACCGGCGGTGATGGCGTGGAGGGCGAGCCTCGAAGAGGGGCAATGGAGCCCTGGGCTGAGGCCCCGCCGTCGTTGCTGTCCCCCTCCAGCAGCTGCCGGGTGCGGGCTGCCAGGAGCGCGTGGTTCAGAGGCAGAATGGGCACGTGGATGAAATCCACCAGTGTGGTGGCCAGTGGAGAGCGCCCGGGAGGCAGGGGAGCGTCTTGCTCCAAGGAGACCCTGGGAGCAGAAAATCGGGAATCTTCCTTGGGAACCAGGGTGACGCCTCCTGGGGCCGCTGCGGGCGCGCTGGCTACAACTCCTCCTCCGCTGTTCGTGCCTTCCAGTACTTGAGGTTTGCTCTTTAGAAGCGGACCCGCGGAGCCCTCAGTCTCTAGACCACAGTCCTCCTCTTCCTCTTCCTCCTCCACTGCAGATGGCTTCGCAGAAGGCTTCACTCCTGCCCCGGGCCAATGAGCACTCCCTGAGGTCGGGAGCAGCAGCTGCCGGGGTGGTGACAGCCCCTTGGGCAGCACCTTCTGCCCCGCTCCTGTCCCGGAGCTGTCGCCAGCTTTGCTCTCTGCCTGGCTCATGAGCGGGGACAACCCCTTGGTAGCAGGGACACTGCGGGGTTCTTCTGGAAGCTCCGATCCAAAGAGACACCAAGATGTGATGTCCTCGCAGACTGGAGGACTGGTGTGGCTCTGCTCAGTCCCCGAGGGCGCCAGTAGTGTGTCTAAGACACTGTCTAAGAGTCTGCTGTCCTTCTCTGGGGCTCTGGGACTGCTCCCTCCTGCCCCACAAGAGGCGCCGACTCCAGAGAACGCTCCTTTCACTTCGGACAGCGACCGCTCGTTCTGTGCTTTTCCGCCTGGGAACTCCGGACCCTGGCAGGACCGAGGGAAGAACAGCCTCTCGTCCAGGGAAATGGGTATAGGCGAGACCACAGACGCTGTGTCCGATGGCTGGCTCCTCTGAAAGATGCAGGGGTCCAAGTGTCCAAGCGAGGGGGACCCGACGTGGGTGGGGGAGGGCGCGGCTGTCGACGCGTGGGGTGCCCGCGGATTTTTTGCCGGCAGCTCAGTCATGACGACCCGAGCTCCCCTTTTCTCCTCCCCTGTCTCCAGGGAGGAGGGAAAAGAGAAGGAGGAGGGGGTGCCGGTGATATAGAGGCAGAGGGAGGGGGAAGTGGGTGATGAAGCGCAGGGCCCTTGGGATCTCCACCTCCTGGCCCGGAGGGGCGGTGCTGGTCAGCTCCTGTCCTTACCCTCCACCCAGAGGCAGAGGAAGGGTGGCAGTCGCGCTGTCCCAGCGGTGGGGTGAGGGCAGGAAGAGGTAGATAGAGCAAGCTGATCTCTGTACTGGAAGAGTTCTTCAAAAGACTTTTTCTGTGTCTGTCTGGGTGCTCAAGCGTCCCGCGCTGAAGTGATAGGTGCTGCGAAAAGGGCTTCTGCTATCTGCGGACTTGTTCCCTTGGTAGAAACCCGGACATCTAGGAAGCCTGCACCACAGTCCAAGCTAAAATCTTGGGGCAATCCATTCTTAATCATCCTACTGCGGCAACAGCTTCTAAAGCTCCCTGGGTTCTTTCCAGTCTCATCAGTCTCTGGTTTCAGGTTCCTCAGGGAAACCCCAAGGGAAGCAAGTTCTCTTTGGGCTTGCAGAATCATCACACTCGCAAATACTACAAAGCATAACTGATAGTGACAGTCTAGACTGACTCCATAGCTTTCTAACAAACCTTACACTCTAGGAAGGCCCGCCCAAAGCCCCTCCTTAGCCAATCACCGGCTAGATCAAAAACTCTGGAGCTGGCATTCCTGCCACCCACTAGTCTGAGTTCCACTTGGAATATCAAGTGCTCTGGGAAGAAACCTCCTACGCATATCAGATTTTATACTATCAATTAAGTATACCAGGCACAGAAGGGAGAAAAATATATCCTATCAAAAGCTAAACTGTATGGATTTGAAATTTGTAAATATTCCACATAGTGAATGGCATTTAATGACATTAGCTCTTAAAATATATAGAAAATGATCTCAAATATTTTAATTTTTATTACATGTGTATGTCTCTGTAAGAGCATGCCACATTGTGCTCAGAGGCCAGAAGAGAGGGTGGGGCCATTAGAGGTGGAGTTACAGGTGGTTGTGAGGGCTGACTGGAGCCCTCTGAAAGAACAGCAAGTGTGTGTGTGTGTGTGTGTGTGTGTGTGTGTGTGTGTGTGTGTGTGTGTGTATTACTGGCTGCCTGTTTAACCCGTTCCTAAATGGAGGAGGCACATTCAAACTATTCTTGTGACAAGGGGGTCACACTCTTTTTGAGGGCCACCGATGTGACTTAGCAGTTTAGGAGTGGAAGGCAGCTGGTAACATCTCTACCTGTGTGGGAAGTTCGAATGCTGAGTGTCATATTTGGCTTGTCCTAATATATCTCTATATATTCATAAGGTTCCCTTCGGTCCTAAGTAAATACCCTGTGTCCCATCTGAAGAGCTCCAGGGGACAGGCTAAGCAGTGATTTCTCCTCTCAGTGTTTCTCTACTCTTAGAATAATTCTTATCTATAACAATAAATCGCCGTTAAATTAATGAGAACACTGTGGAGTGACATGAGTAATTGAAATATTTCATACACAGCTATAAATCATATACATACATAATTGTTTCCATGCTTACCCCAAGATCGGTGGGTATCATGACACTGTCTTAAATATGCCTTATTCGAAACTGAGCTACCCATTTAGAAAAATTCTTTTGAGTGTGTCCAGGTCTATTTATGCTAATGCCTTACAGTTATTCTCACCCAGGTCTAGAAGAAACATTCAAGGCTCCAATGCTCCAGGGCAGGTGGGGCTGCTAGAGGCAGGGACCCTGAATGCCTGAGTCACCAGGGAGGTTCTACATATGAGAAGTAAATCTCTGTTACATTGGACCACTGGGTTTGGGCGTTGACTATCCAAGCAATGAGTTATTGCTGACTAATTTAGATGTAAGAGAATTGGGGAGGTAGAAGAGAATTCAAGGAAGCAGTTATTTTATGTCCTTAAGGCATCAAGTGGTAAAATGGAATGTGGGAACAGCAGGGAGCATTAGGGACAGAGCAGAGAGTGAGTGTGGGAAGGAAAGAAATGAGGCCTCCTAAACACATCCTCCTATGCATGCATGTATGTATATATGTATGTGTGCATGTATGTATGTATGTATGTATGTATATGTGTATGTATAATGTATATGAAGAACATTGACCACAGACTAAGTGAGATGCTGACTTTTTGTCTTAAAAAGTGCACTCATGCTCTTTAAAATCCCTTTTTACTATCCTTTCTCATTGCTTCCTTGCAATTTCACTTTCCACTCTGGTCGCCAGTGATCTGCCTCTGTCATTGTATATTAGGGCTCTAGAGTCCTGCCTGGTTCACTAAGTGTTATATTAAATTATTCGCTATGCGTTGATGTAGGATTCCGCTCTGTATGCTGTGAATACAGTTAATAAAGGAACTGCTTTGGGCCTATAGCAGATGTATATGGGAACAGAGCTAGGCAGGGAAAACTAGATGGAATGCCAGGAGAAAGAAGGAAGAGTTAGAGAGAAACCATGTAGCCGCAATGGTGACAGATGCTGGGAACCTTACCTTGTAAGCCACAGCCATGTGGTGATACACAGATTACTAGAAATGAGTTAAATTAATATGTAATAGTTAGTCAATAAGAAGCTAGGGCTAATGAACCAAACAGTGATTTAAATAACGTAGTTTCTGTGTGATTATTTTGGGGCTAAACAGTCAGGAAACAAACAAGCGGCCCTCTTCCAACAAATTGACACCCACCTAGCTAACTAAATCCACATAAAACCTGAGAAAGTTTAAAAAGGAATCCTAGACACAAAAGAACAGAGTTAAGCATGGTTCGGTACCAGCATTTTCTTAGGTGGCCTCTGTTTGCTAGAAGCAAGCAGAGGCATGGCCCTTTAAGAGAGGTTTTTGTGATTCAATAATAGTAGTAGAAAATAAAAGCTGCCTTTTTGAAATACTGGCTCTCTGGGCCGTGCTGCCAGTGTGACCTCTGGCTCTTTCAGGAAACCAAGCATTTGAATGGAGCTTGTGAGCAATGTGCTATGGCTTGCTTGGTGGCAACATAGACTGACTGTGTGCCTAGAGATGGGGCATTGTGCCTGGCTCTCAGAGGCAGTGAACAGCTCTGCCATGTCACATTGGGCAGGGCAAGCAGGCACTGCTGTATCTTCCCTAGCAATGGTGTGGCTTAAGTTTTAAGAAGTGCTTAGCATTTTAAAAGGTGCTCCTGGACAGTAAAGAATTACAGATAGACAATAGGACACATTCAGACATAAAAGACTTCTAAATGAGTCACAGTGTTGGATAAATGTGTGTAGGCTTGGGAGAGAGAAGAAAAAGAATATAAAAAGTTAAGTAGATGGTTTACAAAAAATAAAATAAAACAAAGTCTTTAAAGAGACAGAGTACAGACAGTCATAGATTAAAGGAGTAAAGATAATAAAATATTAAAAAGCAATAGAATAAAAACAATAAGACACATAAAGATGGCATATACAAAGAGAATCTGGATTATGTAATTATTGTGTTGTCTCTGAATTTTTTGACTATGAAGGAGATAAGTAACCAACATATATACTTTAAAGGTATTTTGTCTTCAAAATTTGAGTCTAAGCATATGTTGCTTCAGAAACAAGGTTCTTCTTTTGTTTCCACAGAGGATGAGAACCTGTGGAGTCCCTCCAAACTAATATGGGTTTGATGCACCCAAGTATCCTCTAAAAAGTCACTGTGAACACCCCTCCAAAAATTACTTTGCCCAAGTACTGACTGAAGAACCTAGCACACAGGATACACCATGAAAGACCTGATTAACAGCACCTCCAAACAGCAGGAAGTCTAGAAAACAACTCCCAAATTCCTAAATATTGTTTATAAATGTTTGTTTACCTTTAAAGGGGGATATGCTATAGAAATTTGCATTGGTATGGATCTTGGTTTATTGATAGAAATTTAAGGTCAATTTCATTATACTGTGTATATGTATTTCTGATCTTGATTAAGATATTGTGTTTGTGCAGCTCATTTAGAAATGTAATATATAATTAAAAAAATACAGGTTAATAGATGATCATCTATAATAGTCAAGCTTGTAGTCATGTTAGTTAGATTTTCTAGATGTACAGAGGTATATTTCAAGTGGATAAATATAGTAACTAGAATTCTTGCTTGATACTTTTTTTTATATGTAATTTTACTATGTTAAAGTAAAAAACCTTTTTATTTAAACAGAAAAGGGGAAATGATGTGGGATTCCTCTCTGTGTGCTGTGAATACAATTGGTTAATAAAGGAACTGTTTTGGGCCAATAGCAGATATATTTTGTAATAGAGCTAGGTGGGGGAAAACTAAACAGAATGCTGGGAGAAAGGAGGAGGAGTTAGAGAGAAGCCATGTAGCCCTGATGGAGACAGACACTGGGAACTTTACCCTGTAAATCACAGTCTCATGGTGATACACAGATTACTAGAAATGGGTTAAATTAATATGTAAGAGTAAGCCAATAAGAAGCTAAAGCTAATGATCCAGGAAGTGATTTAAATAACATGGTTTCTGTGTGATTATTTTGGGGCTGAGCAGTTGGGAAACAAACAAACAACCCTCCTTCAACAATGCATTAGATATAAATGTTTCGAAGATTTTACTAATAGGCCTTGATTTTCAAAATATTTGTAGATTCAGAGCAAAATCTAGCAGAGAATAAAGAATAAGTGAGTGTTTGCTTCCTGCACATGATACAGACTGCAGCCCACCATTAGAGAACACAGGCTGCTTGCTGTGTGGCTTTTAGCTAGTACCTAGAGCACATACAGTTTTCCTTTAATCTCCATTTTCTTTCACAAGGACACCTTGTTTCACTATTGTAGTGGCTTGCCAGGCTCCTCTAGGCTACAACGGTTTCTCTTGTTTTCCATCAGTTTGGTAGTCCTGAGAACTCTTGTAGGATGACATTCTCTATGTAGGCAAGGTTCATGGATTTGGGAAAGAAAGTAAATATTGACAAGCATTGTTTTCACTATCTTGGATTAAAAGTTCACTGTGAACAGGACTTATGGTAGGATGTTGGCCTAGAGTACCTGTGTGAAGTAGTGGGTCTCAGAGTTCCTCATATACTTATTGTTTCCACACTTTGGAAGGAGGTCACTATGAGCCATTT